GTCCTGTTTGGTCTGTTTCTGCTCCTCCATGCTGTCACAGACACTACCATTGGAAGGTATGGGCGGGGCTCAGTGTAGTGAACTATATATTTAATTCTATGGTCCCACCCTACCCAGTCTAGGTGGGCCTAGCCTGGCTAAAACCAATTCCCTGTCCTTCACTTTGCTTCGTACAAGGGTCTGGACTTGATGCATAGAGAATCGATTTCTTGCAGGAGGCGTGGCCTCTGCTGAAGTGTGTGTGTTGTCTGTGTGAAGGARGCTAAGCTAAGAAGCTAACCGGAAATCGCGTGTACTGTAAACAACCCTACTGAGAGGAGAAATGTACGGAGCCGAACGAGACGACTGTAAATGAGAGCTGCTGCTTTGTCAGACAAATTTATTTTAATCTGGAAGCCTTATCAACACAGACTGGCTTCATTCACTTCCTCCACTGCCGTATGCTAAACTAACTAGCAGACACTGCACAGAAATTTGACGTTATGTTTTCTGATTGGCCCGGCTAAAAATCTGCCAGYGAAATCCATCTCAATGTGAGAAGTCCCAGACGGAGCAGTGAAGGGAAACTAGAACTGAGCGGAGCTGCGTAGGAAGGCAAGGGCCAGGCTAAGGTGGGCCAGGTCCTTGGTAGACCGCGAAAACTGTAAAAAAGTGGCTGTGACTTTGGACGGTCTAGTCTTCTGCTTYATTCCCGCCTTTACCCTGATGTTCTGTCACCTAGTAAAATATCAATATGTTAGTATTATAAATATCATAAAATAACAAAATTAGCTTCAAGGCTGCATCAGATTTGAAGAACTAATGGACCCACCATAGGTGCACCTTTTATTCCTTTATACCAGCTCGTTTGATTTCTGACAAAAWTAATATTAAAATCATGTCTATACAAATGATTAAAGCACTAAGCCAGTTTTTTATTTAAAACTGTTCCTTTCTCTCACTTCGTCCACCATTACGAGCAGAAAAAAATCTCCTATCGTCCCGTAAGGCATTATGGGATATGGTGGGCCATGAAGGATCCATCAGACCTGTTCCTAAAATCAGGGAAAAGGAGGACACATTTGTGGGCCGCATCGGAGGAGTCTTTGAATTTGGACAGCCTCCGGCGCGGTGCTGTGACCTAAGCAGCTGACGAATTCGGCTTTCGGAGGACATAGCCTCTGAATTTGGACACAGACGTGATTACTTTGTGAAAATTAAAAGACAAATACGTTGTTATGCAGTTTTTTCTGAATCTAATTCTTTATCTTCAGGGTTTTATGGGATGTAAGAGGCCTGCAGGTGTTGCCCCTGCTGTCCCAGGCTCAGTTTTTGCCCCTGCTCCRTTCTCCATCCCCAGCAAGAGACCATATGAACACAACTATGTTGCTCTGGACCAAATCTCTAAATCACAGCCTAAAGACGGCRGGGAGGGAGTCTCTGCAGGACCGGGCAGTCCTAGTCGGTAAGTCAGTGTTTCTCCCTTCCTTAATTCATTTTGTGTTGAATAAAATAACATCTTAAAACATTTTCTTCATATTTCAGAGGCATCCCAGCAGGTCCAGCACTGCCCAATGGCCCTGCCCACCTGAACCCCGACACAGTCATGAGAGAACTCCACAAGTTGCAGCATGTTTCAAAAAAAAACCACATTAGCCGGTAAACTGAGCCGTAAATTCTGTCTTAATTACCAATAAAAATACAAATCTTCCTCTTTGAAGGGCAGTTAAAATCCTTGTGTCCTGTTTTCAGGCAGCGTGCTCAGGCCTTTCAGGTTGAGGAGTTCCTGCAGAGGAAGAGAGAAGCTATGCTCAACAAAGTGCGTGCTGAAGGACAGTTGGTATGTAGTACGACTAGTTGGACTTGCACTGTGTTATTATGTCTAACCTGTTATTGAAGCGTTAAATAATGACCAGCTGCTCACTGTTGTTATACACCTTCAAAGGTGACACTTACACCATATCAGTGGTTGTACTTTAACTGTAAAACTCTTTCAAATTTGCTGTTTTCTTATATCTGCTGATCTGAGCTGGAATGTGTCACACAGATCAGCCTTTTTTGACCAACGCAATTATTAAGCTATMGATTTCTGTCTGCTTTAGAGCTGCCCTGTCCTCTGCTGGTAGAGGTGTACTTCGTCTTTACCACAAATAATCTTGTTCAGGTTATAGATTTCTTTACTGCATCTTAGGCACACGTGTGATCAGCTAAAGTTAGTCACTTTGGGTTTTTTCTTATTTTGTTGTCTTGTGACCTGGAGTATGTTTTATATTATGTGATCATCACAGCTCAACTGTTTAAAAATGAAGAAAAAAACAAAAAAACAAACCACAACTAACCCAACATTCCATCAATGATGAAGTATGATAAGAACAAATATGTGCGTACGAACGGTTCTTGCATGAGGCCCATTATTTAGAAAGGGAATTAATTAATTTCAATCATTTCTTATTAACAAATGCTGACTGTCAGTCTTTTTTTGCACCCAGAATCAGAATCGTCTTTATTGTCATTCAAATTTGCATTACAATGAAATTGGATTTGCTGGTCCAAGGTACGTTGTTTTTAGACGAGAGACAGTAAAACAAAATAGACAAGTTAAGTATAATAAGACAAAATGTACACTATACAAAAGATAAAAGAATTTCTATATATAAAAATGAAGAATAAGGAGATTTTACAGAAATATTGCACTCTGTACAGTATGTGTGTGTGAGCTGCAGCACAGCAACTCAAACAGATTTTTAAAAATGTAAAATTGTAGTTTTAAAGAAAGCTAAGTTTATTTGAACTGTGCAATATAGAGGTGCAATTTTTAAATGATTTTTTAAAAATAGTTTAAGTTCAGCAGCACGTTTCATCACGATTTGAAATGAATACAAATTTTAAAAAGAGCACACGATTTATTATTTACATTTAACACATTGCTGCAGAATTGTTAAAAAAAGAGACTCCAGATATCTTGAAATTCCAAGTTTCAGACTTGGGACTGGAGGATGAGGACTTGGTAGTTACTTGAGACTTGCAAAACAATGACTTGGTTCCACCTCTGACGGTTAATATCGTAGCTGTTACAGGAAGCAGTTTGAACGACCTCAGTTTGACGGCTGACCAGTGAATGCAGCTAAGAACAAAGTAAACTTCTTCCATCCAAAGGAACACAATTTTACAATATTTTATTGAGGCAGACTCTAACAGACCTTTTTAATTATTGTCAGTTTTGCACTACACCATTATTTAATTAGAATTTTATTATTTACATTTGCAAAAATCAGCTTTAGTTTTTGTAAGAATATCATGTGAAACTGAAGGTGATGTAAATGAATATTAGTGTTCACATTAGCCACTCATTTTTTGTTCCTCCATCACCGAGGCGAGGGACTTAGAAATGCTCTCTGTCCATCAGTTACAATTTCAGACAGCTATAACTTTCACAAAAAAGGCTAAAATACACCAAACTTGGTTTGAGTCATCCATGCTGCATGCCCGACCATACCATGTGGTCATATGCTGACATTGTCGTAGCCCCAGGAACGCAATACGTCCAATATTTTGAGGGCGTGGCCTATTTACTCCACAGCACCCCCTACAATTATTAAAAATCAACCCCAAGCCATTCTTGAACCTGGAATCGTGACATTTGGTACACGAGTGTAATGTCTCAGGACCTTAAAAACATCTCTCGAAGTCCTGGTCCAATCCCCACAGGAAGTCGGCCATTTTGGATCAAAGCTGCCAAGTTGTCTCGTTTCTTGCACATGTATCTAAGCTAACTCCCTCTACAGCTTTGAACATGCAGACTTCACATGCTGCTTGCTTCTCTCAACACTGACTGGTGGTGGAATGATGTGGCAGAGTGGCGAATGCTAATGCTAATACCTCGCCGTTTGCACATGGTTAGCTCTAAATCACACATACATGATCCGATCTGCGCCAAATTTTGTGTGTACCATCAGGGAGCTGCTAAACACATTTATGTAGTAGTTTAATAAGATCATTTTAGCCCCCTGTCAGTTCACACATCTGTTCACTTTATGACATTATTTAAATAATGAAGGCCTGTGGTGATGGTCGCTACTGAAGCCGTTAGTTCATCAGTCATGTCAGATGTTTTTAACTGAAGAGTTATCTCCAACATGTATTACTGTAACTGAATTGTATTTGTTTGGTGAAATGTTGCTATATGACATGAGAAATAAAATTATATCTTGGTTGGCTCCATTATTGCCCCTTTTCCACTAGTGCCACTTAGTGTGGTGTCGGAACTGGTCAGTTCGGGTGCTTTTCCATTGATGTTCCAGTCCAGTTCCTGTGGGTGTGTTTTTAGGYGGTTGGTGGACATGGTTTTGGGGCTTTTTGAAAAAAGTTAATGTGCAAAATGAGAGATGGAACACATTTGATGAATAACTTTTGAAAATTTAAAAGTTTGCTAAAAATTTGAATTAAAATTGGATGGAAACACAACTAATGTCACTGCTACAATTGGAAAAAAAATGGCGCCTCAAGTTGTTCTTGTAAAGGCAGCTTAGATGCAACCAGTGACTCCACCCCCTAGCCAATCAGTGACGAACAGTCTGACGTCGCATTTTTGTCAACTGGGGCCGCTTGGAACCACAATGAAGTAGGTACTAAAAAAGGGCTGGTTCCATGAATCTGGCCTAATGGAAAAGGCTTGAACCGTACCGAACCGTACCGACACTACACTAAGTTGCACTAGTGGAAAAGGGGCACATGTCAGACAATAAAAAAAAATTTAAAATGCCAATTTGCGAGTAATTAAAAGACACTGTTATATTGTAATTTGAGTTGAGTACACAACAATTTATCAGTGGAACTTTATTGAAAGCCGTCTGCCCCAACTTAAGGTTGTTGTGGTCATTAGGGCCTACACCTACTAAAGTGTCATTAAATTGAATACTGAACAGGGCACTCGACAAAACCTGGCTGCAATCTATGGAAGCCGAGCTGGTGCGGCTCGGTGCAGACGACCAAAGGTCAACAAAGAGGAGGAGGTAGGAGCCCAGAGCAGAATACCCAGCCTCACAATCCATCTCACTCACTGCACGTCTGGCTTGTCTGCACAGAACTCCCTTTGACCCATAATTCAGCCCCGCAGCTCGCTCACGTTGAGTCCTTGAGCAACGTTCAGTGTTCCGCTGTCAAGTGTGAGCTGTTTCTTGAACCCAACAATGGCTGCTTTTTCATTTCAAGTAACCATTCCAGTTTGAGTGCTATGTATGTTTGTGTTGTCTTACATTTTGAATGAATGCATTTTGTAAAAGCGGTGAATGTACACTGCCTGGCTAAAAGGAAAAGGTCACACACTCTAATATTTTGTTGGGCGCCTTTAGCTTTGATCACACCACACATTCGCTGTGGCGTTGTTTGGATAAGCTTCATAGACCTGACCACCTGCAGCAGCCTCCATCATAGCCCTGCCCCAGGGGCGGTTCTAGGGGCGGGGCCACGGGGGCATTGGCCCCTGCTGAAATTTGATTGGCCTCCTGTAGTGCCCCCGTCCTGTCACTCATCTGTCCTTTGCCCAAGAACAATAATGCTGAGTGCAGTTCCATGTCCAACCACTAGAGGCGCTAATGAGACCAATAGAATGGTCCAGCATGAATCAACCTGACAGAAGTCTTCTTCTTTTCTTAAAATTTGAACAATCCTGCAGAAAAAGTCTTTCAGCTCACAAATGATGGCTCTCACATTGCTATGTGTTTGAGAGTATTTTATCCATGTACTGTAAAAATGCATGTAAAATTGGTAAGGGGAATTTGCAAGCTTTTTGAAAATTACATTACTTTACAAGAGTTTAAGCGTGTGACTGGTTAAATATATATACACCTTACCAAAACCAGGGGTTTGTGTGCAAGGATGATGAACAAATACTTGGCCCCTCTTTGACTATTGTGGCCCCTTGATGGCCCCTTACTCAGAAAAATCCTAGATCTGCCACTGCTCTGCTCCCACAGTCTGTACAGTAGACACTAGACATGATGGGTCCCCACTATCCCTCCAGTTTTTAATAATGTGTTGGACACTTCTTAACCCAATTGTAGCAGTTTCTACAATCTCCTTAGATGTTTTCTCTGCTTGATGTCAATGATTTGAGCCTTCTCAAACAGACAGAGATCTTTTCCACAACCACAGGATGTGTTTTAATGGTTGTTTAAAGGGTCAACATTATGTGTTTYTCAGGCATATATTTAAATACTATACCATAATAAAGTATCTGTGCCACCTTTAGTTGTTATTAAAATGCTGTTTTTATGTTTAAATAGAAAATAAACTTATCTTCATCACTTCCTCTTCTAAACAGTGTTGTTTAACGTACAGCAAAGTGATACTTGAGTAAAAGTACAAGTATCTTACCAAAAAATTACTTTGGTAAAAGTTAAAGTCTCCTTTAGAAAAATTACTTAAGTAAAAGTCTTAAAGTATCTGATATTTTTTGTACTAAAGTATTAAAAGTAAAAGTATTGATTTAAAATGAGCAGTTATCTTTTCAGTAAAGACATTTATTAGGAGGTGACCTCCTCAAAAAAATGCAAAATGACTATGTTGTATTAAAATAATTAATTTATGGTTTACACTAGTCTAGCTGTTTTTTATATACATATATCAAATGTGCCCAAATATTTTCTCCAAAATGAAAATCTATCTGAGGGCTGTGGCCAAATGCAATAATATAATTCATGAAATATAAATACTTCCTCAGTAC